GATGGCAGACACTATCCAGCAGGGGACCAGCGACAAGTTGAAGACCTCGTATTCCGTTTTGAAACAGATAAATAGCATGCAGGGAATTATGTACAAACCTAGATTCTGTATTTCCAGTGTTCTTCTTTAAGGCATTATGTATGGGTTATGTATGGGTTGGAATATACTAAGTTTTGAGATTAGAACTGAACTTTAAAATCACATAGCAAGGTGTTTGATAAGGGAGTTATCAAAATTTGAAACCATATTTTAAAAGAAATAGATTTGAAAATACTTCTGTAGAAAAGTAACTGCCAGTAGCGTTACATCTGACTTATATGATAGGAATAAAAATCAAGCATGCTTAATAGTAGCTACTGCTTACTGCTTCCTCCCCCCAGTATGTGTATTCAAATTTAGTAAATATAGGAGTTTTTGTTTTCTTCAATAATGCACCATGAAATAGGATTGCTTTTCCTTGTATTAGACAAAATTATCCTGAGATTGGTAATATTTTGATCAATCATTTAAGGCACATTATTTATCAATCAAGTATAGTAAATTTAGGTCCATAAAATATTATTATAATTTCATTTTATAGTTTTTTTTTTTTTACTGTGTTTGTCCCTAGCTTTTCCTAGGCTTTATTTAAAAAGTATTTTTCTTGCCTTTTATGAGACTTAAAAAACTTCAGTGAGAACCTATGTGTCTTTTTGTTTTGACATTTAAAAAATGCAGGAGGGAAAGGATAACACATTCCTTGGATTAGGGAAATATACCATTACGTAAGTAAATGGGCTTTGCACTCCTTTGGACTTTTAGATCCTCAAGTTGGATGTTTGGGGTTTAAAAGCCTTCATGAATCTTCATCAGTTTGTGTTAACCTGTAAATTATAAATTTCATGTCTGTATATTAAAGTAAAATATTTGTGTAAAGAATATAAGATACAGTATTTTTTAGTGGAATGAAAAGTTAATCTGAAGCCAAGTTCTTTCATGATTTGGAAAGAATATGCCTTCACTGCTATGTCTGGACCACAGCATACTGAATAGGATCATGTTGATGTCTTCTGTGGCTTCACCTAATTTATTTTCTTCTTCAACTTCCTTCAGTTATTTAACTGGGACCCAAGTCACTGGATACTTGTGAATGGCTTGTTTGAATTTAACTTATTTCTGTTGGTGCTTTTTTATTTCTTTAAAAGTTGCTATACAAAGTAATTATAGGAGAAAGGAAAATCACACTTTTGGTACTCACGCTAATATTTACTCATGTCACCAGATGGAATCTTGGGAATGTATAAAAAGTAATGCGACCTTAAATATAGTTGTCTATTTGCCAATGGGATTTAGACTTTATATCAAAAGAGAAGGAAAGAATCTTGCTTTCATTCCTGGAAACTACCGGGCACCTGTGTAGAGAAAGATAAAAACAAGTTATGTGAAGTGGAACATACTATTTGGTATTTATTTTCAAAGTGCATAAACATGTCTGCACAGGAATGTTTAAGGATAAGTGATCTAGTACCATTTATCATTTTATTTAATGTTTACTTATTTTTGAGAGAGAGAGATAGAGAGAGTGAGTGGGGTAAGGGCAGAGAGAGAGGGAGACAAAGAATCCGAAGCACGCGCCAGACAGTCTCTCCGAGGTCTCAGCACAGAGCCCGTCACGGGGCTCAAACCCACAAACTGTGAGATCATGACCTGAGCCGAAGTCTGTCGGTTAACGACTGAGCCACCCAGGTGTCCCGCCATTTATCATTTTAAAAGTCATTGCTTGAAAATGTAGAACTCGGAAAGCCTCAACTCATTTTTGAAATATTTGTCTAGGATGGGTTTTCTCTGCCATAAAATTCATCTAATTCATAAAAAAGTGCACTCAGTTGCCTCAGTAAACACATTGCTGTGTAGCTTCTCTTCCATATGATGATAGTTTTGTGAAAAGTCACCAGGATGATTAAAGAATTAGAAAATGAATATTCATGGTTATTGCTTAGAAAATAATTTAAGAAATGATTTTTAAAAGCATTCTTTTAAAGGAGAAGAAAAGTTGCTTCTCTCACCCCCCTCACCCTTTACTTTTGTAAAGCATCTAGAAGAGTCAGGGCTTGACCAAAGAAAAGTGCACTGAAATTTTGTACTACTTTAGTATATACCATGAAGTAGCTTCCAGACCCCATTGGGCCACACAGGCAGGTCCCCAAACAGGGTCATTTTTAAATCTTTCAATCTTTCAGGTCTTAGAGGTTCAAATTATATTGAACATACCAAATATATTCTATAGACGATGTCAAAATGAACCCAGAGTCCTCTAGTTTTCACTGTAAATATTTGGAAATGATTATTATAATTTTGCTTTTAAAATCACTTTATTAAGAGTGAGTAATTTCATTTACCATGCTCTTCAGCAGTCAACATGAAATATTGGAAATTGTTTGAAAAGACAGAGTCTAGCACACAATTTCTCTCTAAAATTAAAGAACTTCTTATGAGTAAAAAATTTAATATGAAAACCAACTTATGTTCCAATTTAAGGATATTTACTTGTATGTTCATTAATTTCAATTTTGTCATTTTAAAAAACATTTTAGAAGCAATACTTGTCTTTCCCATGTAAAATGTGATTTTGAGCCCCTAAAAAGTCTGGGGTCTTAGTCCCCCTCCAGTCTTCACTAGATAAAGCTGTCTGGCAGCTCTCCGCCTGTGTCCTCTCCTTTTTCTGGTTCCTTCTCTCCTTTGCCGGAAGGAAGGGTTTTTTTTTCTGTTCTTAAAATCACAGCTGCCACTGCTCTTCTCCCTAGTTTACATGGATCTGATAGGAAGTCATTCCATTTTCTGGATAGCTACTAAAAAAACATAGATGTTCTTCCCTAGAGTGAAGAGTGTTTGGAGTGTGAATGTTTTTTTCATCCTGTATTTCTGGGGGCATAACTCGGGAGTGGGGACCTATTCTGAAAGCTGAATTTCACCTTGCAAAACAGCATCATTTATGGGCTAGTTCCTCAGTGATGTTCTCTTGAAATTCTGAAGTGCTGAATGTGGGTTCTTCAGGAACACTCTGGAAACGTCCAATGTGTTGTCTTTTAGGAAGAAAAATTTATATATATATAAATTGTCTTTTAGGAAGAAAAATTTATATATATATATATATAAAATATATATATTTTTATATATGTAAAAATATTTACATTTTTATATATGTAAAAATATATATATTTAGTATATATATTTAAATTTTTTAAAAAATTGTTTATTCTGAGAGAGGGAGAGACAGAGAGAGAGAGAGAGACAGAGACAGAGAACAAGCAGGAGAGGGGCAGAGAGAGAGAGGGAGACACAGAATCTAAAGCAGGCTCCAGGCTCTGAGCTGTCAGCACAGAGCTGGATATGGGGTTTGAACTCACGAACTGTGAGATCATGACCTGAGCCGAAGTCAGACGCCTAACTGACTGAGCCACCCACGGGCCCCAGTGTATTTATTTATTTTGAGAGAGAGTGTGGGGAGTAGAGAGAGACATACAGAGAATCCCAAGCAGGCTCCACACTATCAGCACAGAGCCGCACGTGGGGCTCCATTCCATAAACCATGAGATCATGACCTGAACCAAAGTTAGACACTTAACTGACTGAGCCACCGAGGCAACCCTGAATAAGATGGAATTTAGAAGCTTAAGGAAGTGAAAGACTTGACCTAGGTCACACAACTGTTAGCAACAAGGATGAGGTTAGGAATGGGTCCCTTAAGAGACTCTTAGAATCTGCCACACCGTTTGGTGTAATGTACAGAATATTCAAGGAGAAGAGCTTGGAGGACCCACGTTAACTCATTTAGTCTGGACAGCCCCACCTGTGGGACTGGGGATCAGTCTGAGCATTGTGGAAAAAGTCTGCAAAGAAATACCAAAGCAGATTCCTGAAGAATTCCATGCTGGTGGCCGCCCTCTATATTTTAGAAATGTTATCAAGAATTTGAAAACAGTCTCATTTTCATCCTGGATTCTAAATTAGCTGTTATACCTTAGGTTTTCCGGTAAGAGATAGACCTCTGTGTTATAAGGTCATGTGCATGTTTGTGATACATAATAATGGTTAATAACATTTCCATTCCCCTCAAATTAGAAAAACGTGTGAAAATAATAAATACAGGATCAAGGATGCATAATATTTGAAATTTGGGCAGTCCTGAAAAGAGTTAGGATGTAGGATTACTCTAAGCACGTGTATGGTGGCTATACTGGAGAGAAGGGAATTATGTGTTCAATCTCCAAATATTAACCATTTAAAAACATTTTTTTAACGTTTATTTTTGAAGGAGAGAGGGACAGAGCATGAGTGGGGAAGGAGACAGAGAGAGGGAGACACAGAATCGAAAGTAGGCTCCAGGCTCTGAGCTGTCGGCACAGAGCCCGATGTGGGGCTAAAACCCACGAGCTATGGGATCATGACCTAAGCCAAAGTCAGACACCCAACTGACTGAGCCAGCCAGGTGCCCCAAATGTTAACCAGTTTTAAAACTACAGATTTAGAAAGCAAGGATTATAGCCCCTTTAATAGGCTGTCTAATGTCTTAGTATTTTACTGCAAAGAGCACTTTTGCTGTATTTCAGCTTAGGAAGTTGAGTTAATTCGCTGAATGATAGGCCCCAGGAATGTGTCTGCTTAGGAGGTGAGAACAGAGCTATCTGAGGCCACTGATGACAGATGTACCCCGTCAAGGAGAAGTGGAAGTATGTCCTAGATGTGATTAGGAGAGCAGAGGCAGAAACAGAGAGACACTGCGCTGAAGTGTATCCGTGTAAAAAAGATGAGTGTATCGTGATGTTGCTGCAAGAGATCATTTTAGAGTGTTGGTAACAAGGATACTGGAAATTTTTTTCTTTTTGTTCTAAGTTATTTGATTATTTGGTTACCTCCAAAGCTGAAGAAATACAGCTTCAGATAGAAAAAACAAATGAATATAGAAACTTCCATATGGGCAGAGAATGTACTTGGAACTCACTCCATGTCTCTGTGTTCTCCAGGCTGCCCACCATTCCGCAATGGCCCCCCTTGCTGCAGCAAATGCAGAGTTTTGCATCAACCTGTTCAGAGAGATGGAAAACAATCCAGGGAATGGAAACGTGTTCTTCTCTTCTCTGAGCATCTTCACTGCCCTGGCCCTGGTCCGTCTGGGCGCACGAGGTGACTGTGCTGCTCAGATTGATAAGGTCAGTCTTGGGTTGTGCCACCACCCATGGTTCCCGCAATTAATCATTTAGGGCAAGTTGTTTCCTGCAAGAGCATATTCTACTGCAGTGGTCCATGTAGATGAGGCCATCCCAACGAGGCCCGCTCCGGGGGTGAAGGACACACGTACTGCTCGTAGTACTTGTGTTTGAGATGAGAGACAACACAAATATTCTCAGAACTGTCGCTTTGGTGCTTTGCCTTGGTCAAGTGGCTCTCGAAGTGTGTTTCCGAGACCAGCAGCATCAGCATCACAGAGAACTTGTTAGGAATGCAGATGCTTGGGCCCCACCTGAGACCTAGTGAATCAGAAATTATGGGGGTGGAGCCCAGCAATCTGGGGCTTAGTAAACTCTCCAGGGGACACTAAAGCTTGGGAACCAGTGCCTGTCAGAGTTGACAAGAAAGAAGAGCAACCAGAAGATACCAGAGTCCCAGTTTAAACATGAGTGGTGTGGGTACAAATGACACAATAGTACATTCCGGATAATAGCAGCCTACCAGAATGGTAGTCACATTGTCATCAACAGCATTAAGTGCTTTTTAACCTGCCTTCGTACACTACCCTGAACTAGGCTGGCCTCGGGAGTTGTAGGAGCTCGATGGCAGGTGGGACACCAGGTCCAGGCTGCGCACGGAGGTCTTTGTATCACTTTCTGCCCACTTGTTCCCCCCATTGTTTTGGTCCATAAATTAGACCTAGAGGAAGCTTGTCCATGTCGTAACCTTTCACAACTAAGCACTGGTTAAAGAGTGTTTGTGCAGGTAATTTAAGCTAGAATAACTCATTTCTCTCTCCGGATAGCTCAGTGAATATTTGCTGCTAGGGAATAACCACGGGTCTCGGAATGCCATTTTTTCCAAGGGCTGGAGGGATTCACAGCCACAGTATATTGAGCACCTTCAGTGCGATGACGCAGGTAACTGCTGAGAACCTGGTCAGTGTCCGGCTCTGGGCTAAGCTCTACAGACACCTTATTTGTTGCTCGCAGAGATATTGGGGTAGGTCATAGTACTCTGACTGTGTGTTCCTGGGCCATCTTGATTGGTAAGTGGCAGAGTTACGGTTCAAATTCAGGGTGATCTTCTAACTCAGGGTTTCTAAACCTCAGACATTTTGAACAGATAGTTCTTCGTTGTGAGGGGCTTTTCTGCACGGTGCTGGAGATTGACTAGCATCTCTGGCTTGTCCCACTAGATACTGTTTGGGTACCTCTCTCCGGTTGTGAGAAGCAAAAAAGTCTCCAGATATTACCAGATATCCCCCACGAGGCAGAATCAAAACAGTGGAGAAGCATTCTCCCTAAAACAACCAAACTGAATGCAGCCCAAAGTACATTATTACAAAGCCTCAGTTATTATGAAGTTAGCACTTCAACAACCAAATAGAGCCTAAGGAGGGGTGGGGAACCTAGCCACTAATAAAAATGTATTCATTCATTAGTATAAGTACATAATGCTTTAGAACCAAGTAAGGCGACTTGCTTTTTGGAGTTAGAAAATTAGATCCAAATTCTGATTTGGGAAAATTAGGTCATCTGTGTTAGCCTCAGTATCCTTACCTGTAAACTACAGGGTGGCGGTTGGGGTGGGGAGGACTTGTTGTATCCACTTTAAAAAATAGCCTAAAAGGTGTTCCTAGGGGCGCCTGGGTGGCTCAGTCGGTTAAGCGTCCGACTTCGGCTCAGGTCATGATCTCATGATTTGTGGGTTCGTGCCCCGTGTCGGGCTCTGTGCTCACAGCTAGCTCAGAGCCTGGAGCCTGCTTTGGATTCTGTGTCTTCCTCTCTCTCTGACCCTCCCCTGCTCACGCTGTCTCCCTCTCTCTCTCAGAAATAAATTTTTAAAAATTAAAAAAAAAAATTAAAAGGTGTTCCTAGTCCAAAGACATGTAGGCTTCACAGCTATGATGAAACACCATGCCTTTAACATAACAGAAGACACAGTTATTTATTATTGAATGATTTCAGGTTAGGAACTTTCTTGGGCTATTGCCTGATTCATTTCCTGAGGTCTCTTTGCCAGCCCACACCCCACTCCCCCCACCAAGCTGCCTGGTGGACCAGTCAACAGCTCATGCGGGGTGGGCCACAGTGGATTCAAAGAGCCTGTTTTGCTGGGGTCTGCTCTTTTATGGTCACTGACGGAATCAGTGCCTTTCCTGAATTACTTTTTAGCCCTTGCTATTATAACCTCCTGTAAGACACATGTAAGAGGACTCTCTCTCCCCTTCCACCCTTCCCCTGCACTCTCGCTCTCTCTGTCAAAATAAATTAAAAAATAAAAAAGAAGAAATATGTAATAGGAAAAAATGGCAACTATAGACACAAGACCATTCATGAGATGCATTTGTACAAATATTTAGCCCTCTGCAGTATACCTTCTTGGAAATCAATTGTTTAGCTTCCCCCACTTGCCCCCACAACCCTGTCCCAGTTAGTTTCTTGTTGCAGTACCCAACACTTGATGCTGTGTGTCATCAATGTATATTTTCTCCGTTTAGTAGTAATCTGTGGCATCCATCTATCTGTCTCTCTTAAGTATTGCCGTGGACCAGTGGTCATTCTTATTTCTGATGCTCAGATGGTCACAGTTGGCCAGTAGAAATCCCTTTAATCTTGTCCTATTTTTTGTTTTTAAATTTGACAGTGAGTGAACAGGGGAGGGGCAGAGAGAGAGACAGAGGGAGAGAAACCCAAGCAGGCTCCTTGCTGTGAGCACAGAGCTCAATCCCGGGAACTGTGAGATCATGACCAGTGCCAAAATCAAGAGTCGGACACTTAACCAACTGAGCCACCCAGGTGACCCTAAACTTGCCCTTTTTAAACAGTCCTCTCAAATGACTCTGAATCTTGCAACCCGACAGCATGAGGTTCTGGGCCTGTCCTGAATTTCCTTGGTTCCACACAGCTCAGCTACTTTCAGCGAAGGCGTGATTCCTTTACTGGATAACAGTGTTGAAATCCAGAATTGGCACGAAATCTAGAATCCTTTCAGTGGAATTCAGGTGACACACAAGCTGCTTCCCACTTGAGTAAAAGAGCAGAAAAGTACATTTATTTACAAGATCATGTGTTCAGGTTCATAGTTTTTCATTTAGCTCTAATAGTACTGTACTTTTTGATTATAATGGTTTTTAAAATTTAGTTTTCTTTTCTTTGAGATACCTACTTCCTCTCTTTTCTCTCACATAACAATTTCATTGAAATAAAGTATGTCATAAATTTTTGTCTTAAATCATGTCTTTATGTCACAGGGTTTTTTAAAAGTTATGCAAATTTGAATTTTCTTAAACAATTGAGTTTTACTAAAAACGTTTCAAAAATAATTACTGTAATATGTTCCTTATTCTACCAATTCTGTGAGAAGACATAATAGTGTTATCATTTGGCAAGAATGCAAAGATAGAAAGAAGGCCATTGGGATGCAGATCATTCAGTCTTAAAATTTTTTTTAATGTGTATTTATTTTTGAGAGACAGCAAGAGACAGAGCGTGCATGGGGGAGGGGCAGAGAGAGACACACACAGAATCCGAAGCAGCCTCCAGGCTCTGAGCTGTCAGTACAGAGTCCTACATGGGGCTCAAACTCACAAGCCTTGAGATCATGACCTGAGCTGAAGTTGGATGCTTAACCGACTGAGCCGCCCAGGTGCCCTAGACTAGTCTTTTTTTTTTTTAACCCTCAATCTAAAGTTCCTGAAATATCTTACATTGTGTAGATCCAGGATTTTCCTTGTTTGCCATTTTCTGAACATGTTACCAGTTATGAACAAAAAAAAGAAATTCTGACTTTTCTACATGGGTCAGTCAGGGAATATGAGACCACAGGACTGCAAGCATTTTGGATTGTGATAACTATGCCCTTTGATATTTTATTTATTATTCATTACATTTGACTATTTACTAGTGTCACCGTTCATCTTCAGTCATGGTAGTTTTATCGTTGAATGCATAATTTCTTAGAGTTTTTGAAACTATAAAAACATATATGTATCACCTCAATATTTTACCAGTCAGGTTTCCTAAAAGCCAATTAGGAAGATCAAAAGAGATGACTAGATTATCATCCAAAGAGAGTAAAATTAGAAATGGTCAAAGAATGATGTTCAGTGTGTGTTTGTTAAAGTTTTATTCAAAAAATTAATAAGGATGACTTCTGGGGATTCAGATGCTTTTTATAATATTGCTTGGGTTCCACAAAGTTAGTTCAGGAAAGACATTAGGTTTTTTGAGTCCTGACCCTATGCCATGATCTTTTATTTTTCTGGTACACCCATATATTCCCAAATACCAGTCTATCCAATGCCATGGCAAAATGAGAGAGGAGGCTGGTACTTCACATGCTCCGCAATGGCACAGAACCAGGGGGGAGGGGCAGGATGCCCCCCCACTTCCCCCATTGCAGGCGTGGTGACTTGATGCCTGCAAAGACCCCACTAGTGAATTTAAATCGACTACCAATTTGTATTTCAAATGTGCCTTGTTGCCTTTGCCTTACCTCTCACTCCACCTCATATTAATTATTATTCCAGATGAAGAGGATATAGAAATTGAGGTAGGCTCCAATTCCCTGTGACCTATTAAGACTAATTGTGACACTCGTAGCCTTCATACATCTTCATTTTCTTACTGAGCTGTTCCATTTTCTCCTACCCAATAAGATGGTACTTGATTAGGGTTCTGAAGCCTTGAAGTTGAAACCCTGCACAGAGCCACTGATAGCCACAATGACTTAGTTAAGTTCCATGCATAATTTCTAATGGACTTCACCCCTTCTCCCTACCTCCACCTCCCACTAGGATATGGTTCAAACGTAGCACATACGACCCCTTCAGGAAGACCTTCATCTTTCTTTTGGAACACCTTAGCTGGCTCTGTGTCTCACCCATCCATGCCTGGGAGGCAGAACACATTCAGTTTGGTCCCCACAGTTGCATAAATGAGTATCATAAGCGTAGTGCACTTTGTCACTTCCTAGTAGAGAAGCTGTTTTGCATTTCAGATCCCATGGACATAAGGGCCTGCGGAAATTCAGATAAAGTCCAATAGAAAATTAAAGCTTGGGCAGAATAGCAATTATGAGAACAATGGGATTATGAGAGCCACACTGGAAAAGGAAACACCTAAAATGACTTAATTCCAAATAATTGCAGGATCTGAAATTACATCTCTCAAGTCCCAATTTCGCTTCACATTTAGGATTTCCTAGATATTCAGTAACTACTTCTCCCTTTTCCATCTTGGTGCCTATGTGATTAGCCCTAATCTTGCCTGCCAGGTAGGTAAATAAAGTTTCCGTGTTTTTTAATGTTTATTTATTTTTGAAAGAGAGAGAGACATAGAGTGAGCAGGGTAAGGGCAGAGAGAGACACACACACAGAATCCGAAGCAGGCTTCAGGCTCAGAGCTGTCAGAACAGAGCCTGATGCAGGGCTCCAGCTCATGAACCGTGAGATCATTGCCTGAGCCAAAGTTGGACGCTCAACTGACTGAGCCACCCAGGGGCCCCAAAGTTTCCATTTTTTATTTGATTTATTTTGATCCTTGTCTACTTTTAATCAGGGAGCAATTGTAAAATTGTTCCACTAGAACGAGCAAACCAAAAATACTTATCAAATACATTTCATGTTGTAGCCATCAATTGATTAACTCTGCCGACCTGTGCCACTTTCCCCAACAAGCAATCTGTGTTCTAACCATGTCAGTAGGGCAGCTGCACCTGTCACTGCTCCCCGGAGCGCTACCAACCACACGCGCAGACTCAGCCATGAACAATCAAGTGTCTTCCTTTCTTGGCTCTGTGGGGTCCTTTCTCATTGGGCAGGACCTGCTAACTGCTTTCCTCCTTCTCTGTCTGCAGATGCTCCACTTCACCAGGGTCTCAGGATGGGGAAACTCTTCGAACTCTCAGGTAAGGACAATACATTCTCCTAGGGAAAGGGAATGTGGGACTAAAATTCGAGAAATTTCTATCTCGCCGTTGTGTTTAATTAGGCTCACTGTCTTCTCAAAGCAAAGGCGTATGTCTCACTCAGATTGCCATAGTGTAGTGTGGTGTCTCAAGTACAGCTCTTGATAATTTACCTGTTAATTATTAATTTCCCAATATTTCACTTGTGTGTTGGCTGGATTTTGGCCAGACAGTATGGAACTAAATGTTTTGCTTTTATCCTTTGATATCCATGGCCAACTTAGAGGTAAAATGAATTATTTAGCACACATGTGACGCAGATTCATTATCTGCTGTTAATAATTTTATTCTAAGGTTAATGACTTTAGTAAAACTTTTAATTAACTTTGATCACAGATACTACTCTGAGAAAGAGCAAGAAATTGTAAGTCTCTGTGGCATTGCTGCTTTTACAAGCATCATTCTTCTTCAGTTCCTTTCTGGCACAACATACATGTTTTGTTTCATGTGTAAATGAGACTGTGGATATATTTGCGGTCCCATAATACATTTTTTTATAAATCTTTTCAATAACAGCCAGAACTTCAGTCTCAACTGAAAAGAGTTCTCTCCGACATAAACACATCCCATAGAGATTATGAGCTCAGCATTGCCAATGGTCTTTTCGCAGAAAAAGTGTTTGACTTTCATAAGGTGAGTGCGACCTCCCATATCACAAGGTTATTTCCACTCTGGATCGCAGTCTTGTTCGATCCATCATCTGTAAGAGGGCTGTGTCTTTCTACAGAGCCAGACAGTAGTGATTTTTTTAATTTCTTATAGCTGCTAATCATGTTCCCAGAAGTCTTTGAAATATCATCACTGTGTTTCCAGAGTTCAACTTTACTTGTTCGGCTGAGTGATCCCCACGTTCAGGGTCACCAGACTGAGAGGCTCCAAAAATAGAAGAGACTGTGCCCTCCAGCAGTGAGGTGGAGCTATCAGGGGGAGGGAGAGGGGAGGCGAAGGCGGCCCATGTGGGGTTGTCGCTGGGCAGTGGAGAAAAGTCTCCACACTTTTCCTCTAAGCTCTGTGTCTCCTGGGATTCCTGTGCATCCCCAGAGTTGAGTTCACCTCCTCTGTTCTTTGCTGTGCCCAGTCTTCTCTCCTGCCAGCATGAACTTTGCAGGGTGAGCACTTGCTAAAGAGCCCCTTGTGGGGGACATAGTAAGGACACCGGCAGCAGAGGAGCAGATCGGGCTGGACTGAGGGCAGGGATGTGGTTCACTCGAGGCCGGCAGGTGCATTGCTAATATTGCTCTGTGGTGTCTGTGCTACCAATTCATTCATCATGGAGTCCCACTCACCCAAAGACCAGTGAGATCCAGACTGTATTCTTTATGCTACTGGGCTCCACCCATGCATTAGAGCCACTGTCGCTGTGACAACCGGAAGCTGGTTAGTACTCTTCAAGCAGATGCAGTGCCCGTGATTTTCAGGGCATGTTTGTTCTTCTTTTTAATTTTCCACTTGTCAGACAACCGTAAAGCTCGGCTTCCGTGCCATCTCTGGGCTGGTCTCCACTTGTATCTTTGCCAGCCTTCTGTGTTCCACCCAGCCATCATTGTCTCCTCTGTCTGTCACCCACACGGATTCCTTGCCCCCGTCCGACACCACTCCCCAGCCCTTTGGCAGCATGCCGGTTATGAAGCATGAAGCCACTTTGTTTTTTCATCTTTCCAAGAAGAATCCCGCACAAGCTTTACAAGGGCCACCATGTATGTTCAGATCCACGTTCTGTGTCTCTTTTCCCACACATACTGCTGAGTTCCTGAGGGACTGCCAGCCCCCTTAAACTCGAGGTTGAGGTGTCTATCATGTTACTATTTACAGCACATTTCCGTGTTCCTTTTTCCGGAGCTCAGCATGTGTAGGGAACAGGGCATCCAGAAGCACAGTGAATTCGAGATCTGGTCACGAACATGGAAAATAAAGATACTGTCCTCTTTTTCCTCCCAAACATTTGCAAGTAGAGGTAGTTATTCTAAAAACTACTTTTTGCGGGGTGCCTGGATGATTCATTTGGTTAAGTGTCCAACTCTTGATTTCAGCTCAGGTCATGATCTCACAGTTCATGAGATTGAGCCTCTAATTGGACTCTTTGCAGAATGTGAATCCTGCTTAAGATTTCCTCTCTCTCTCTCTCTCTCTCTCCCCCTACCCCTCGACCTTCCCCTGCTTGTGTTCATGCTCCTTCTCAAAAATAAAAATAAAACAAAATACAAACTTTTTAAAAAAAGTTTATTTATTTTGAGAGAGGAACAGAGCACAAGTTGGGGAGGGGCAGAGAGAAGGGGAGAGAGAGAATTGCAAGAAGGCTCGATGCTGTCCACACCAAGCCCAATGCAGAGCTTGACTCACAAATCATGCATGAGATGACTGGAGGTGAAATCAAGTATCCAATGCTTAATCGACTGAGCCATCCAGGCGCCCCAATAAAAACTACTTTTGATTAAATATGGAACTTTTATTAGCTTTCGGTTGTCAGATCAGCATACAGATAGATCATCTCCAAATTTTTTACGTTTTGTGTTACAAGTTTTTAAACTCATATTTGAATATGGATGAGTCTATTTTAGAATTGATAATGATAATAATAATGTATAAATTATCTTTACAAAAAGTATGGTGGCATAGAAGACCTAACCACCGTCTCTGATACCTTCTCCCTCCTCCCCAAATCTGTGCTAAATCTTGGTCAGACCTCTGAGAATGTCCTTCTAGTACTCCCCCAAGCTCTGTTATCATTTTGGGTAACTTCAGTGTCCTGTGACACCTAGCTGTGAGGTCAGCTTCCCTCCGTACAGTTCGTGACCTGCTCTCTATCCCATTACAGTAACGAATGCCCAAGCCACACCCTGAAACTTATCAATGCCCAGAGTGTTCCACTCCTGAAATCTGTAACTTGAGCTTCCCCATTCGTGGCCACATCATTCCATACTTCTCAGTCTTTCATTATTTCATGCCCAGTCTACCTGTTCTTCAACTGCACTGACCTCTGCCATTTTTCCAACTCCCCATCGGCTCTCAACCTGTCAGCTCTCTCTTTCCCCCAACAGAGCGACACCCAGATCAATCCCACGATTTCTCCCAGCAGGTGTGCCTCAGCTACTACCTGACAGCTGTACCAAGTCTGGGTGTGTGGTCAGCACCCCAACACCGTGGGTCCCAGCCTAGCGAGTGTTCTCAGTGCTGTCCAGCAGTCAGCTGTGCGCTCAGGGCCGTGTCTTTCTCCCGTTCCTCACAACATCTCTTGAAATCTCTTCTGCTTCTCTCAATTTCCCAATAGCCTCTTATTGCCACCATCAGTTTCAACCAGGTGTATGCCTTGAGCTCCAGGTCTCTGAGGCCTTAGATTTTTCTAGTTGGCCCTGGAGCAGGAGAAGGGCCCAGTGCGGGAGGAGCCCATGTGAGGATGGGAAGCCACGGGATTTAGTGGAAATACGCCTGGGCTTTCTCCGTGCACTTGTGCTGCCTCCCTGGTCACCAGAGTCATCACAGTAACAGGGTATCAACCACTGCCTTTGAGTGGGTGGGTGTCTGGATCATCAGGGGTCACCTGAGACCTCAGGGTGACACCCCTTCGCTCCTCAGAGCTGCTGCTCTGGGCTCCTGGGATGACTGGCCAGGGGGAAGGGACGGCTCTGCTCGCCGCCCCCATGCCATCTGTTCTCCGCCTGGTCATGACCACAGACTGGCACTTGATCCTAGATTTTCCAGTCGTTTGTTGTGTACTCAAAAATAGTTTCTATACCTGGCACAAGCACTTTCAATGTTCAAATTTATTTTTTTAATAGAAAATTATTTAATACTGAAATGGAGGTACATGTTGTAATATATGTAGGATGAATATTTTAGTTCTTTTCTAAAATATGATTTATTGTCAAATTGGCTTGCCTATGACAGCTAGTGCTCATCCCAACAAGTGCCCTCCTCAGTGCCCATCACCCACTTTCCCTTCTTCCCCGCCCTCTCATCAACCCTCATTTTGTTCTCTGTGTTCAAGAGTCTCTTATGGTTTGCCTACCTAAAGAGTATCCAATGGAGAAAAGACAAGCTCTTTAGCAAATGGTGCTGGGAGAGCTGGACAGCAACATGTAGAAGAATGAAACTAGACCACTTTCTTACACCGTACACAAAAATAAAGTCAAAATGGATGAAAGACCTAAATGTGAGACAGGAAACCATGAATATTTTAGTTCCAGATAGGCAATTTGATCTTCTTAAAGTTAATGGAGGAGGTTTCAAGAGACAAAGCAAGTGTGGCTCTTTCTGAAAGATGAACACATTATATACGTTCATGGAACAAATTGTGTATGGAGAAAAAGAATTGGACTTGAGTTGTCTTATGTTTCAGCTTGTCTTCTATAAGTAGAAGCACATCCACCTCAGAATAATGACTTTTCATTTTCAAGCAATAAATTCCCATCTCCGCTTGTCTTCTACTTGACAAAGAAAAGAGAGGCCATCAGGGGGGTTCACATCCCAACTCACATCCTGCCCCCTTTCCCTTTCCCTTCATTTTCACAGAGAATACTTTGTTTAATGGATAATTCCTTCATTTCTTTTTGCCTCTTTACCCCCCAGTTCCTTGGTGACATGTTTCTATCAGTATTTTTCTGGAACATCTCTCACTCTACTGTCTTCTTCCTCATAGCATATAAATGTGCTCCAGGTGCACATCTGTTATACCCAGATCGCAGTATCCTCACCGACCAGAGACCACCAGGGAGACCGAGTCACGCATCCAAGGGCAAAGGGCTTTATTACGGGCTTTATTACTTCACCAGCGCATGGGTCCGTGCTGAGAGCCCCGAACAAGGGCAGAGTAGGGTTTTTATGGGGTTTGAGACAGGGGAGTTACAGAAGTTGTGACATGGGAACAGTGATCCAATCATAATTATTCAACATCATTGACAGCGGGTTTGACCATACACATTGTCTAGAGTATTCGTTACTTTTGGCGGGATCCAATTACAACATTTAGAGTACCTTTAAATTCAACCAATTGCAGAGTGAGCCTAGGGTCTTGTTCGGCGACTAACAGGTTAACTTTAACATTAGGTAACAGGGTCCTATCTATAGTTTCTATCTCCAGGCCTCTCCCTCAGTAATGTGGAGGGTGGTCGCTGGCCTTTCCTGATTGGGTGTTGCAAGGGTGGTTTCTCCTGCCTTGGGCAATGTGTAACTGCCTGATAGTTTCGGGAAAGCTGAAACTCAGGCCTTCTAGTTCAGAGGGGAAACTTTAAGCCTGTCATGGAGTCAGTTTGGTTTAGACATTTAGACTTGTGGCCTTACACATCTTCTAAATTTTTCTCTCCTTTTTTTTTAAACGTTACCCCATGATTCTCTTCCTATTTTTGTACTTCTGACTCTGACAATCTAAGTTTGAAAAATCAAACATCTCCGAAGACTGATATGTATAGGCAGAATCCATTTTCCACCCTCTCTCACTGCTCAATCTGTTGCGATGCAGCTTCTACCTTCTACGTTCTCCAGAAGCTGCTCTTACCAAGGTGACTAATGGCTTTCAATGGACACCAGGCTATGGGCACTTTGCAAGTTTCGATATCATCTGCTTCTTTAGTATTCTACCCTGTTGTAGCTCCCCCAAACTTTCCCCTTTCGTGGTTTCTATGGCATTGATTTCTCCTGCTTTTCTACCTTCTCCTTCATCTTCATTTCCTCTGTTTATCTGTATTCCTCTACTCATCCCTGAAGTATGAGTGGTCTTTAGAGTTTTGCCCTCAGGCAACTTCCAGTTTGAGTCTACTCCCTGCCTCAATTCGGGACCTTCTATATCCCTCAGGATAAACTACAAGGACATTTTAACAAGTCTATTTCCAGTCCATTTTTTTTCCTTACACTGATTTCAGAGTCACCTTTACAAAATGCAGATTTAATTACATTACTCTCCTATTTAAACTCTTTTGCTAACTCTCCCTAAAATAAAATGAAAGCTCCTTATCAAGGGAGACAAGACATTCATGCCCTTCCTGTGGCTGGGGTCCTCCACTTCCCCCATCCACCCCAGGCCTCAGGCATTATAAACTCCTGCTGGGCTCCTGAGTGTGCAAAGATCCATTCCCTCCCCTGAGAGTACTGCTGCCTGGAGGGCTCACCTTTGCTGCTGGTCCTCCTCAACTACACATCCTTCTTTCTTCCTCTCTCTCTCTTTCTTTCTTTTTTTTTAAATTTTTTAATGTTTTATTTATTTCTTAGAGAGAGAGAGAGAGAGAGGCAGCATGAGCAGGAGAGGCTCAGAGAGAGAGGGAGACACATAATCCGAAACAGGCTCCAGGCTCTGAGCTGTCAGCACAGAGCCCGACGCGGGGCTCAAACCCACGATCTGTGAGATCATGACCTGAGCTGAAGCTGGACACTCAACCGACTGAGCCACCCAGGAGCCCCTCTCTCTTTCTTTCTTTGTTTCTTTCTTTCTTCTTTTCAGTTTTATTTATTTATTTATTTTTTATAATTTTTTTTAATGTTTTATTTATTTCTAGGAGAGAGAGAGAGAGACAGCGTGAGCAGGGGAGGGTCAGAGAGAGAGGGAGTCACAGACTGAAACAGGCTCCAGGTTCTGAGCTGGCAGTCAGCACAGAGCCCGATGCGGGGCCCGAACCCACGAACCGCGAGATCATGACCCAAGCGAAAGTCGGACGCTTAACCGACTAAGCCACCCAGGCGCCCCTCAGTTTTATTTATTTAAACAAGCTTTATACACATTGTAGGGCTCAAGAATCACATGTTCCTCCGACTGAGCCAGCCAGGCGCCCCAACTTCATTTCTTTCAAATACAGGCCAAGTCTAGGGCACTTGGGCTGTATCTTACGTGCAGGAAGTAGCCTGGAAGCCTTCCTACTGCTTTCAGTGTGAAGGGGGTGACGCAATCAAGGGATGCTAACTAAGAGGCTGAAGTGTTTCTGATGAGAGAGTAGTGGTAAAGCCAAGGGAGTGGGCTTTAGTCATAATCCCTATTAGTCTCCCCTAATCCATTTCAGATACGTGTACGTCAAATAGCGTGCTTGCTGTGCAAATTCAGTTTCAGGTTTTCCAGCTCCTCTTCCAACCATATTTTCATATTTCTTGCCATATTTCCCCATCTTTGAGTGAGGAATGAGCGGAAGACAGTAAGACAATGGAAATAAAGAGATAAGTTGAAAAACAGATGTGCTACATGCTTAGTTAAAGGTGTAAACATAAAAACTGTGTATTACTTACAGACTTACTTATTAGTGAACTTATTACTGTAATTATTAATGTTTCTAGAACTATATTGAGCATGCTGAAAAGTTATACAAGGCCAAAGTGGAACGAGTTGACTTTACAAATGATGTACAAGATACCAGATACAAAATTAATAAATGGATTGAAAATGAGACACATGGTGAGTGCAACCTTATTTTTCTATGGGATTTGTCAGTGATATGTGAATACAGAGAAAGGTCAACTTTAGAGCTGGAAGGCTTTTGTAAGACATGAAAGGAACTGGTTCCTCCCAAACCGATGTAATGATTGCTGTTATTGAAAATTGCTCGTGCACTGTTGGTGAGAAGGCAGACTGGTGCAGCCCCTGTGGAAAACAGTATGGAGGTTCCCCAGAAAGTTAAAAAGAGGGGCATCTCAGTTAAGTGTCCAGCTTCGGCTCAGGTCATGATCTCGCGGTTCATGGGTTGAGCCTCGCAATGGTTTCTGTGCTGACAACTCAGAGCCTGGAGCCTGTTTCAGGTTCTGTGTCTCCCTCTCTCTCTGTCCCTGCCCCACTTGTGCTCTGTCTCTCTCTGTCTCAAAAACAAACAAAAAATTAAAAATAAAAAAAGTAAAGTTAAAAACAGAATTATCAATATGATCCAGTGATTCTACTCTTGGGTATTTATCCAAAGAAAACAAAAACACTAATTTGAAAAGATAAACACATGCCTATGGTTATGGCAGCATTATTAACAGTAGCCAAGTTATGGAAGCAGCCCATATGTCCATCAGTAGATTAATAGATATGAAGATGTGGTATATATATCTAGATCTAGATAGAGAGATATATAGATAAATACATAGACAGGTAGGAATATTACTAAGCCATAAAAAAAGAATGAGATCTCACCATTTGCAACAATGTGGGTGGACCTAGAAGGTGTAATGCCAACTGAAATAAGTGAGACAGAGAAAGACAAATATTATGATTTTACTCACATGTTGAATTTAAGAAACAAAACAAATAAACAAAGAAAAAAGAGACAAACAAACAACCAGACTTTAAATACAGAGAACAAACTAATGGTTGCCAGAGGGGAGGCCGGTGGGAGTATGAAATAGTGAAAGAAGTTAAGAGCACACTTATCTTGATGAGCACTGAGTAATGCATAGAATTGTTGAATCATTATATTGTACATCTGAAACTAATATAACACTGTATGTTAATTATACTTCAATTAAAAAATAATACAATGCTGGTTACAAAGGGCTGGGGGTTGGTGCTTCAAGGAGATTTGTTCAGTGCACTTAGAGTTTCAGCTTTGTGAGAGGAAATAAGTTCTGAATATGTGATATACAACAAGGTGTATATCAGTAATACCACTGACTTGTTAAGATGATAACTTTTATGTTCTTTAATCACATTAAAAAATGGGGAGCAAAATTCCTAACAATCCTAGCACCTCAACAAATCACTGGCTTCTTTTTCCCATGTTCTATTCTACCCTTGGCCTTATGCATAAGGAATAAGTTGACTTTGTTATGTTTATAGTTTATGTTCACATAAACTGTGTCTAGATTTTTTTCTTCACTTTCTATCTCTGACATTTTTACAGGCTACTTTGCAATTTTTCATAACCATTTAATTGCACAGACCAATTATGAAATAAAGAATGTAAACATACCGTTATTATATGGTAGAATAACATTTGAGACATATTGGTTAAATAAAATATATTATTAAATAAAAAAAAGAAAGAGAATTGCATTAGTATTTGTCCACAATGTGGTTTTGAGCAATCTTAATAATTGTCATGCGTTATACTTTTCAGAAATCTTATCTATTACATTTTCTCATTGGATTGGTCAATAATCCTATGAGACAAATACTGATTTTATTATGACCATTTCATAAATTAGTGACAAGCTGAACTAATATGCCTCAATATCTTATTCTTAGTTAGTGAACAAAGACTAAAAGTGGTTTATAGGATATTATTTTCCATGGCCCCAACATAACATTTCATTCTAACGATTAATCCAATATCTTACTGTTTTCTTCTTGGGTTGAAGAATCTCATTAAAATTATGACATCCTACTGTCTGTGAAATATATTTTTATATGATTCCTTCTTCTAAAAGATGCATAGTTTATCTCTCATTTTAAAATTCTCTTCATTTATCAAAATAATATATGTGGCAGAGGTAGTATCTTATGAAAAAGTACATTGCTTTATTGGTAAGTGTCTTGCACAGTTAAAAACTGAATTCTAGAAAATGTTCTGGTTATTTCAAAACAAAGAAATGTATTCACTGCTATTTTGTTAATCAGTTGATTCCAAACCTAGTCATTTCTTTACCAAAGGCTGACCTCGATTTGTACTCTAAAAAATATACATGTACTTGCCGAGTCTGGTTCTGTTTCACAAATATGAGACATTACTTGCATTCTTAAATGCAAACATTCAAGATACTGTAATTAATCCTGGGAATAAGAATACAGTGTTTCAATTTACTTTTTGTTCATTGGTCATTACCTCAGTAGACGGTTGCTATGACCATTAGCCACCACATGTTTCAAATATACTATTCACAAACCAAGACAAAATATGCAATTCCTTTTTCTTTCTTATTTTTTAAAGTTTATTTATTTATTTTTGAGAGAGAGACAGAGACAGAGAGGGACAGAGAGAGACAGAGTTTCTAAAGTACGTTTGTGCTGACAGCAGAGAGCCTGATGTGGGCTTGAACTCCCAAATTGCAAGATCGTGACCTGAGCTTAAGTCAGAAACTTAACTAACTGAACTACCCAGGGGCCCCTGCAATTGCTTTTTGTAATAACTGAGCGGGATTCTATTTAGTGTTTAGTGTTTAAGGGTATCAGATTGCTAATACCCTTTTCCATCTGGACCATTTATTCTCTTCCTTGTTTTATTCAAATCTATCCTAAAATTATTTAATTTTGGTAAGCATTGGTTCTCAATTCTCAATACTTCGGAATGTTGCTAACATTCCACCAAACTCCGCCAGGTCTTACTGCCCTTGCCCCTCCTCCACACACAACCAGAGCACTCATTTTGAAACGTAAATCTGACCCATCATGACCGTGTCCTTTCTTATCTTTCAATGAATGCTCAGCAATCATTTTCCATTGCCTTCAGGATAATCCAAAATTATTGCCAGACATTCAAGGCTCTTCATTAGCCGGCCCCTCCCTGTAACCTTTCCAACTCTACTTTCCCTAATGCATCAGAATGTGCTGGGCTTCCCCCAAATACACTGTGCTCTTCCAGCCTTCCAGGTCTTGGAACGAAGAACTTCTCTCCACCTCCCATCTCACCCTCAGCTCAAGCAGAGGGCGCCCCTAGTCTGTGCTCCCACAGCACACTGAGCACATGGCTATGGTACCCGTGTGGACAGCTCCCTGTGCTGGACTGTGAGTCCAATGATGGCAAAGACTGTGTCTTTCCTGGTTGTGGATCAGGCATTGAGCATAGGGTTGACATCCAGTGAAAATCTTGTGAATGTGGAATCAAGGAAGTAATTAGCCCTCTCAACAGAATGGAGTTAAATTCTATCTAGAATCCCGTGGCCTCGTCCAGGTGGTAAAGGTAGTTTGGTGCTTACCAGCAAGGAGGGGCTTCGGGAATCCTCTTTCTGGGTTGGAATCCTATGGCTGGGACTTTCTTGTTGTGGGTTGTTGTACAAATTACTTAACCTCTCTGTGCTCCAGCGTCCTTGACAGGAAATGGAAACAATCATCGTGCCTACCCCACAGAGACTTCTGTGAGGATTAAAACAAATCTTGCACATTAAAGTGTTTAGGGAGTCCCAGACGGAGTGATTGCTCATAGGCTAGGACAAATATCATTGTTATTATTCTAATTATGTCCTAAGGAAAAATCCATGTTCATTGTGTCTTTTTAGAAAAATTGCATTAAAAATTAACATTTTTTTCTCCACTTATTTTTCAAAAGGCAAAATCAAGAACATCTTTCAAGATGATAGCATCAGCTCTTCTGCTGTCATGGTGCTGGTGAACGCTGTGTACTTCAAGGGCAAGTGGGAGTCGGCCTTCTCTAAGAACGAAACCCTAAATTGCCGTTTCAAATCTCCCAAGGTACAGAAATCTATTCAAGTTAAGTTCTTTTGCCAATAGTATTCCTTTGCAGAAATTATGATATTTACATAGACAAAGGATGGACCCATCATTTCTTTATTTCTTTCTTCTACTGCTCACCAGTGCTATATGGTGCGTCGCTTATAAAACACACTGTTCTCCTGATAATGCAGGTTATAAATCACAACTGGAGGTGTCCCAGAAATTGATATTTCTTAAAATACCTTTGTAATTGAGAAAGGTAATAAAGAATGCGTTGATTTTTAAGATATTCTAGTTGGATGCCTATAAGAAGTAAATGGGACAAAAGGGTGCCAATTTTAATTTTTTCTGATTCTGACTGTGGAGCGTACAGTTCTAGTCACTTAATACCAATGATTTTTCCTGAGTCAAAGCGAGGATGTGTTTCCTTTTATAGAGGAAGAAGTTATGTTCAGTGAAGTTACACATTTCCAAGTGTATATATTCTTGTGGCTTTTTGTTTTTGTGTGTGTGTGTTTTTACCAATTTGTGCACAATAATCTTACAGTACAGTAGAAACACCAAAGCTTTGGAGTCAGAAGTACTGTGTGGGCATCCCTGCCTCGTGTCACAGAATCTGCGTTGTCTTAGGCAAGGCAGCTTAACCACCGTAGACCTTCCTACCCTCACAAATAAGTCAATTCCTCTAATTGACTGGTAAAGTTTCCTTCAATCACTCAGCCTTTTGTGTTCAAGCAGAGAAACTCAGCTTAAAGTTTCAGGTTGAAACTTAGTTTTATTTACTGAAATGTTCTTTCTGCATTTTTCCGCATCAGACGTTTTGGGCATAGGAGAGCTGAGTGCTGGTAGCAATCAAAGATCAATGAATGAGTGATAAATATTTCTATGAATACTACAGATGTTTTCTTTCGTTGGAGGTAAAATACAGACCAGTACTATCAAAATTACACAATTTTAGTTGAGGTCTTATTAAAAAATATATAGCATTCATTTTAAAGAATTCTATTTAATAATTATTCGTTACTTATCATATAGACATTTTCAGGTAAAATACTAAGTGCAAGGCAATGTACCAAGTGCTAGGTATATTAACTAACATTATCTCTACAATGGTCCTATACAATAGAGACCATTTTTACCCTCATTATATTGATGAGGAAATGGAATCACAGAGAGGTGAAGTAACTTGTCCAGAGCTACACAGCTGGGAGTTTTAAACCCAAGCATTTAAACTCAAAGTCTGTGCTTTTACTGCTAAGCCATGAACCAATGCAATACATCACTATTGGCAACAAGTCAGTAAAAATCCACTGAATCGACTGGACAAAGACTGAAGAACTATTCTTACTGCATAAGTGAAAGATGGTGAGTTTATAAAATTTTTTTGTGACTTGACTTTCAGTGTCCTGGGAAAGCGATCACCATGATGCACCAAGAACGGAAGTTCAATTTGTCTGTCATTAGGGACCCACCCATGCAGGTTGTTGAGCTCAAGTATCATGGCGGCATATGCATGTACATCATGCTGCCTGAGAATGACCTGTCCCAAGTAAGTTACTACTGCCACTTTCACTATTGGGGACTTAGAAGATTTTTAAGATATTATTGATTGTGTTTTTATGCATCAACTTTATGATTTTAGGTTGTAAGAATCAGAGATTTACCCGCTTATTCATTTATTTAACAAATATTTAAGAAGTGCCTACTCTGGGGGCACCTGGGTGGCTTAGTCGGTTAAGCGTCCGACTTTCGCTTCGGTCATGATCTCACGGTTCGTGGGTTCGAGCCCCGCGTCGGGCTCTGTGCTGACTGCCAGCTCAGAGCCTGGAGCCTGTTTCAGTCTGTGACTCCCTCTCTCTCTGACCCTCCCCTGCTCACGCTGTCTCTCTCTCTCCTAGAAATAAATAAAACATTAAAAAAAAAAAATTAAAAAAAAAAAAAAAAAAGAAGTGCCTACTCTGTGCCAGACACCATTATAGATGTGAGATTGACTTACTTCGGTTTAGCCTAAATTTTAGTTGAATAGCCATGAAATTGGAACCCTCTCACACCTCAGCTTTGGAGGGAAAAGGGTATGAGTTTAGGTCTTTGCTCTTGGCCCTCATAATAGTCTTGCATGTATTATTGGAATTTTGATCGACTGAACATTTTTAGGCAGGAATGATTCAGTGGGGTTTTGAAGTCCTGGGCCTTTGAGCATCAAAATGTACGGTCCTACTCTGAGCTGCTGTGTCTCTGGGAAAAGCAGTGTTTAGGGGCTGCCCTGTGATTGATGTAGCCAGGGCAACAGACCAGCATAGCGCAAGGGACAAAAAGAGGCATCAAAGGGGCCCTGCAAGGCCACATAGCATCACCATGTCTCAGATCCTAATTTTCTTCCAGCCCTTCTTCCTCTTCTCCCTGTGAATTTGGCCTCCTAAGCCTATGACCTCAAATCCCAGAAGCCTGGATCTTAGGTTGCTCTCTGTACTTCCCATCGAAAGGAAGAATAGACACCGTTCATTGAGCACCTACTGTGTGCTGGGCTGTGTGCTCTGAGCTTCATTCATGTTTTCTTATTTGATCCACACAACCATGTGAGATAGGGAAAGGAGGCTCATGGAATTTGGTCAATTGGTCTGATAAATACATATGCACAAATGTGTATGTGTGTGTGCATATATATCAACTACCCTAAAAAGTTACGAGGGTTTAAAATATTTTTGTGTTTTGATTCGTAAAATAATGAATGTTGCTTATAAAATAACTGGAAAGGAGAAAGAGTATGAAGAAATGCTCCTCCTACCCAGAGACATTATTTTTCATTCCATCTTTATCCTATGATTTAGAAACTTTGGACTTTAAGACTTTGGAAATATAATTTCTACAGGGACAAAACCACTGAATCATTATAATGATTTTCACTTAGTTTTATTTTAATTACCTTTTCTGACATGGACAGCAAGAAAAATGCCATAAAGTTGCTATTATTAAATCTAAAGCTGACAATATAAAATATTGGTATTCCTATTAAATCAATAATTCACTCAATAATCTTTGTCAACATTTTTCCACACATGAATTATTTTAACCTCAAATAATCTACAATAATAGAAAAAGTAGCCATATAAAACAAACTGTAGGTAACTCGAAAGATAGATTTGTTCTTGCATTTATTGTCTGAGTTTTTCTTTTCTGTCATGGATTTTCCTAACAATTTTTCAATCAGATTAGTATAAATCTACTGTGTACCTACATAACAAAATAATGATGAGGAAATTGGCTTTACAGTGAGCTAAACAAGGGAAGACTTCTAAGTCAGAATGAGAAGTTATTATAGACTAACCATGAACTGGATAATTTACACACATCAAATTTAAATTAGACTAAATTTGATTATATAGGTTTAGGTTCTCGGTAAAGATAGCTATGAAAAATTCTTTAGGATTCCAGTGAGCCTGAATTTGAGAACAAATTTCTGTATATAATATTTGTAAACATTGTGCACGTGACTAGTTTCTGATCAATTCATAGCATTCAGAGCTGGTCCTACTCATGAATCATTTGGGGCAGCAGTGGTGCTGGAGAGAGAGCTGTGGGATCCTAGCTGTGTAACCAAAGTCCCAGCTATGCAATTCAGCACATTTCCTCACAATGTTTTGGGCTTCAGTTGTCACATGTGTTGAGTAGGAGAGTGGATTTGGATCCAAGCCCCCTAGATGGTATTGGTAACTGTGCTGGAAGGCAGTGATCACCTAAACCCTGGAAGCTAGAGCTCTGGATTCCTTGCTTTGGGTCACCTGGGGTCCATTTGGTTATTCCCACAAGTTGTGCAAACATTACCATTTTCTATGTCTTTAGTGATGAGAAATGGTCAAGAAATTCTGACTTAAATGACTACTGAGTTCCTTTCTCCCTCTGATGATCTCTGATACCCTAATTCCTTCACTTTCCCATTGTTCCACTTTGGCTATATTTGTGGCTATATTTGTTCATATGGGGGCAGAGAACAGAAATGCCTAGAAATACAAGTCATACTTTGTCATAGCAGAGCAAATTAAGCACATGACTTAATAAAGAGTGCTTGAACTATTTGTGTTAATAGTTTCCCATTTTCAGACTTCCCCGAATCCATTTACGTACTTACATGCAAATATCCAGGACAGGATAATTATGGAAAACCATCTGTCTTTGTAGCTGATGATATTTCATCTGTCTCTTAAGCATATGGTTCTTTTTTTTTTTTTTTTTGAGAGAGAGAGTATGTGTGTGAGAGGAGGGGAAGGGCAGAGAGAGGGGGAGAGCCCTAGTGGGGGAGAAGGCCAAAGGGGGAGAGGGGAAGAGAGAGAGAGAGAGAGAGAGAGAGAGAGAGAGAGAATATAACAAGCAGGCTCCATGCTCAGTGCAGTGCCTGATGTGGGTCTCAAGCCCACGACTCTGGGATCATGACCTGAGTCAAAATCAAGCGTCGCATGCTCAAGTAGCTGAGCCACCCAGGTATCCCTTGAGCATATGGTTCTAAATTGCTTTTTCAACATTCCTACAGATTGAAAACCAGCTGACTTTTCGGAATCTAATGGAGTGGACCAATCCAAGAAAAATGAGCTCCCAGTATGTCGAGGTGTTTCTTCCTCAGTTCAAGATAGAGAAGAATTATGAAATCAAGAACCATTTAAGAGCCCTGGGGCTGAAGGACATCTTTGATGAATCCAGAGCTGATCTCTCTGGTATAGCTTCAGGAGGTCGTCTGTATTTGTCCAAAATGGTGCACAAGTCATACATAGAGGTTACTGAGGAGGGCACAGAGGCGGCTGCTGCCACGGGGAACAACATAGTAGAAAAGCAGCTCCCTGAGTCCAGGGTGTTCAGAGCCGATCACCCGTTCCTCTTTGTCATCAGGAAGGATGACATCATCCTGTTTAGTGGCAAAGTCTCTTGCCCTTGAAAATCCAACTGGTTTCTATTACAGTAGTTCCCTGCAACATCAGGGAACCACCACAAGAGAATAGATTTGAGTGTGATCGAAGCACATGGTGTTTTGCTTGCTTACTTCCTTCCAATAGTGGTCGGGCAGGTGACTTGGGTGGCCTGACCCCTTGTAGACACCCGGTTGATTGTCCTGATCCCGCTTTAGCCAACCGTGTGCCTCACCCATGTCTAAGTTCACTCTCTTTTTACCCCCACTCATTCCGGCTGTTCTCTGCTGTAGCCCCTTGCACCCAGAGCTGGGCACCGTCTGGGAACTATAGGGGGGTCTGTTGGCAGTGACGATGCAGAAGCAGCCCTGGGGTGTTGTCTGAAATGCTGTAGTTATCCCGGTTATTCTGGTTTCATGGTTAATGAGCGTGGAAGGAAGCCCAGCTGCTGAACCCGAGTGTGAAGGCTGACCTTTCCCTGCCGACCTAAGAAGACATCAGAGCTGACTTTCACACATCTGATTTGAAATCAGTAACTAATGTAGATGCTAAAAACTATAGATTTGGGATAAGGGGACACCTAAAATATTTCATGAGTAACTTTATGTTCATGTCTTTTGGTCTTTCCTTGATACAGACTTTTTTTTTTCCTTGATAGAGACTCACTGTGTACATAGTTTTTCAAATATTAAATATCTTTTAACTATTGCCATTTGTTATTTACAGTATATATTTTGTGTGCTGCGTAGTTTACAAGTTTTTGCTCTTATTTATCAGAATAAATAAGTACAACAGAGCTGGACAGTGTGATTTTTGTCCTCTAACCAATGGTGAGACTACCAGCACTTTCTTTATCTGGTAGGTCAAGGCAAACAAGCAAGAAAGAATGCTGTTTAAATATAAATCTGATTTGGTTCAGGGGTGCTAATTTATGATACATGAAAGTTACTTTTACAGACACACAGGCTGATAAGGTAAGTATAAATACTAAGATTTAAGTTCATTAGGAAAAGGATTTGCATATATGAATATTTATAATAAGACACAAGTAACTTTACAAAAACAGATCAAAAATAAATTGAAGGGGCGCCTGGGTGGCTTAGTCGGTTAAGCGTCCGACTTTCGCTTAGGTCACGATCTCGCGGTTCGTGGGTTCAAGCCCCGCGTCGGGCTCTGTGCTGACTGCCAGCTCAGAGCCTGAAGCCTATTTCGGAGTCTGTGTCTCCCTCTCTCTCTGACCCTCCCCTGCTCACGCTGTCTTTCTCTCTCTCTCTCCTAGAAATAAAAAAAATTAAAAAAGAAAAAAAAAAGAAAAAAAAATAAATTGAAAATGAGTAGACCAAGCTGAACACACTTAGAATTTTATAAACAGTAACAGTCTATTGAATTATGTTGTTTATCACACATGACTTTCACCTGAATAGGAACTAAATAAATCTGGAGTCTTCTACAGCATGGCACTGTGGTGCATGATACTTACCCTGGCGGCGATCTGATTTTCAACAAATATTTTGAAGTCCGTGAAAATAGCATGAATGAGTTAACGTCACATGACTTGAGAGAGGTAGAAAAGCCTCGACCAAATAATTAATCACTAACCTGCATACCTGAAATCATTATTATGTCTGTAAGAGATATTTATGGGTGGGAGTGAAATTAACCTGTATTCAGTGGTATTTTTTTTTTGAGGAACTAATTTTTCCGATTAACCCCATTCACACCTGTTGCCATTCAAAAATGGCATACTTCTAGATTCTGCTCTTAGGTGATGAAGATACAGGATGGGGGTGCAGGAGCATGCGTTGTGACGGCAGCCATAATGTCCAGAAGCGTGGACGCCCTTTTCTGCTGATAGTGTTTTCTGTGGGGCTCAGAGCTGCTGAGGTTTGAAGCACATACCAGGTCTGTAAGGAAAGACCGGAGTCAGGTCTGTAAGGCAATAGTATGGAAAAACTGATAGAAGCTTTCCCTACAATTTTGGTTGGTTGGTTCTGCCCATGTGTCCACCTCATGGTTAAGGACTCCCGCTCACTCAGAGAAGGACTACCTTGTCTAGCCATGATCTAGGCTTGGTTTGGTGTTACTTTCACAAGGCTGTAACTGTTGTCAGTACACCTCTGGCTTAGTGACAGCAAAGGTAACAGTTGTTGAACTTCTCTGTTAGCACTGAGCTCCATGCTTCTTGAGGCAGGAGCCATGACTGGTTTGTTTCTGTAACCAACACCCCCCTGGAACAATACTTAACATATAATAGGCACTCATTGTGTCTTTAGAATAAATGTAGCTGTTAGTCCCAAGAGTGTGATTTGAGACGGAAATGAGACCTCAGGGACCACTCTGGTATAAGATCATGTCACTGATCTTGTAACTGATTTATTTTCATACAAAGACTCCTTTCTATCTTTTAAGGTCATGTTTTTTTTTTTTTTCTCTCAATCTGTTTATTTAACCATAAGTATTTCCAAAGCTCTCCTTCTCTCACTCAAAATTCTGTCTCTGTATGCTCCCACCTGAACGCATGGCTTGTGTAATAGCTGATGACACCTGTCTCTATTGTAGCTTCATCCAGACTCACGACTGTCTCCTGAAACATCCACCTGAACGTCCTAGAGTAAAACTAAACATGCCTCAGCCACAACACATCATCATCCTCCACGTGGTCGCCTTCGGGGCCCACCTTTAGTTAAGGACAAATATTGTCTAAAATTCCAAGCTCACAGGGTGCCTGGGTGGTTCCGTCGGTTAAGCGTCCGACTTTGGTCATGATCTCACAGTTCGTGGGTTCGAGCCCCGTGTCAGGCTCTGTGCTGACAGCTAATTCAGAGCCTGAAGCCTGTTTCGGATTCTGTGTCTCCCTCTCCTTCTGACTCTCCCCTGCTCATGCTGTCTCTCTCTCAGAAATAAACAAAACATTTAAAAAATATTAAAATTCCAAGATCAAAACATCAAGATTATCTTTGTATATTCCTTTTTCACAGTGGAACTGTTCACTGGCCTTACCACTAAAACTCTCTTGAATTTATTTCCTTTTCTTTCTTCCCATGAGCACTGCTTGAGTTTAGGCAAACTCAAACTACTGTAGTTTGTTGCTTATCTTTTATTCTTGCTTCTTGCAACTTGTATTTCTCTTTCACTCTTAAGCCCAAAGTCGTGAAGATTTTTGTTTCCTTCTTAAGAAAATTTTTTTAATGTTTATTTATTTTTGAGAGAGAGAGAATGATAGAGTGTGAGTGGAGGAGGGGCAGAGGGAGAGGGAGACACAGAATCCAAAGCAGACTTCAGGCTCTGAGCTGTCAGGACAGCGCCTAGTGTAGGGCTTGAACCCACAAACCTCAAGCTCATGACCTGAGCCAAAGTTGGATGCTCAATGGACTGAGCCACCCAGGTGTCCTGAAGATTTCTGTTTTCATCCATAGATGCCAGTTATCTTCCTGAAACACAGATGGAAACAAGCCACTTTCTTATAAAACACTTGGTGGCTCTTTACCACCTAAGGACAGAGTCTAAACTCTAGCATAGCACTCCAGGCCTTCCCCAATTTTCCTTATCCTCCTATCTACCTGGTTTGGCCACTCCCTGACAAGGCTCTAAACTCAACACACCTTGGACTAATGAAAGCCAAATCCACAATTTCATGTTGTGCAGTCTGTCCCCCTGAGTGGCACACTCTCTCCATCTTCACTTAATATCCATCAAATTGTTCAGGCATCTGACCATGTTCGTATTCCCTGGGGAGATCTCTGTTTAGGTAGACCCATCGAACACATCATGCTTCCTTTTATGAGAGCTGTGCTCCAGTTTCTTGCTATGTTCTGCTAGTGTGTGTGTGCAAGTGTAGGTGTGCATGTGGCTTGCTAGAGTATGAGCTCTTTAAAGGCAGGGTATGGCATATGGTAGGTATGGTGAGTATCCCTTCCTCATTTGAGATGAATAAATTCTCTAAAGGTCCCCAAAAAAGACAGAAGTCAGAGAATGTAGTGTAGACAAAGACTCTGGCCAGATAGCAGGTACCCTTGCCACCACTTGTCTCTACCTCCATCAGTGCCTCCTTGAGAGCATACTGTGTTCTGCCAGTCATGTGCCAAAGTCAACGTAAAGGCAAACTCTCAAAAGTGGGTGAAAAAGCACTCTATCTCTGCAGGAACAAGAAGAGTTTTTTTTCACCCATTCTTCAATGAAGAGAAAGGGCAATATTGCCATCTTCGTTAACTCCCATCACTGCTTTATCATTTACAAAATGTTTTCACAGACCCCATCTCAATTCTGCTTACACTCCTGTAACGTGGAAACTATTATGATTATTAATATCATTTTTATTTCATAAGGAAAATTAAGGTCAGAGAAGTTGGGCAATTGCCCAAGATCACGTGTGCTCTTTCCATCATAACACGCTGCCGTGAACTTGGTTATAAATCTCACTTGCACCTTGGCTCTGCTCAGGGTCCTCTCATCTCATGCTCCAACACCTCACACGGCTCACTCCTTCTTTGGGACCATACTGACTGATGCCACGTGTCTCCGATGACCTCAGGCTTTCCTAAAATACCACACCTCTTGTAAATTTGGGCAAATCCATAATTACATGACTCTGTGTTCTTATATTTGGGTCATTTACACTTTTATGATTTAGGTGATTTAATTTGTGCATTATTTGTTCTAACAATAAACTTTTTGAGAGTTTATACGGGAATGATAATGATAGTACAAACTCTTCTAATCGTAAACCCTCCTAAATATAAACTCTCTGAGACAAGTGACAATTATCTTCTGCTGTCTTTGTGATTTCTCGTCCGCACATTCTATAACCCTTCACTGACTGAGTTCTAGTCATCAACAGAGAAAGGCAGCATATGTGTCTGTAATCTGGTTATCATTTGACACTAATATATCTGTCCTGACTGCCAAACCTAGAATTTGTAAAGACTCATGATTAGAACAGCATTCATAAGCTTAATCTCCCCTAGAGATGCCGGCAGCACCTTGAAGAAGAGAAAGCCACAGTGAGTTTACCTCCAAGTGGCTAAGTGTTGACTATCAGAACTTAATTGTGTTATGGGACCTTTCTTTGATATTCTCTTTACTTCTTGCTTCTTGCCTGTGGCACTGTGAACCAAAAACACGAATACCATTCTACTTAAAACATGAAGTTATTGAGTGAAACTAAGGTGACTCATCTTTTCTAAATACTGAATTTTATTATTGGCTTGTGATTTAAACAAAGACAAATAATGTACTTTGATATACTCAGTGCATTGAGAGGGAGAGGAAAAGGAGCAGAATGGAAAGAGTGTGGTGGGAAGAGAAGACAAAGACTTTCTAGATATTTCTACAATATTCCATTTTAAATGTAAAATTTCTCTCCAAGTGTGTCTCTTCGGACAATACTTGTCAAGGCTGCTGAATTTGAATCTTTGGCTGGACAGGACTATCACAGTGTTTGCAAATCGTAGCAGTGTGACTGCTACATTCTGTGAACGAGGGCAGATGCTGTGGAAGCGTGCAGCATGGGCTTCTCAACCAGTCCTGGAAGGACAGGAGGGCTTCCCGGAGGAGGGGACTCTTGTAGTTCAAACCAGGAGGGATGAGTAGGTAAAGGGAAAAGAAGGAGAGGGGGAGGGGGGTCCAGTAGAAGCAGCGGCCTCTCCAAG